TAAATATAAATATAAATATAAATACAAATATAAATATAAAGCAAATTGAAAATGCCGCCGCCTATACATTTATCGAATTCATCTGCATGTATTGGCGCTTTCAATTCCAGATTCGCTTCGCGATTCGCTGTGGCAGAAGAGAGCCCGGCTGGGTGATTTCCAACACTTCGTTAATTTGGGTATTCCTCCCCTAAACAGAGTTCACTTTGAAGAAATGAAAGCTTTCACCGAAGTTGCTTTCTTTCATTCGTTTTGCGTTTTCGTGTTTCAAGCGCAATTTCTACTTTGCTTCATTTGCTCTAATTAGTACTGTTTTCTTATAAAGTTACGGAACGACATATAAGTCATTTAGATTTTTTTTTTCATGGCACCTGGACCTGCTCTGCATGCTTTTTCGGATAAGCTTGCGGACTGACGACTCATGTCAAGTGGCACTTTTTTCTCTTCATATCTCAAATTCTTCTTCAAGTCTCGTTGATTAGTAGAGTCTAGGCCGGTATACAGGTAGCCGAAAAAAAAACCTCAAAAAGTGAATTCTCCACCAAGTAACACCGCCTCAAATATGCAAAACTTGCCAGGTTGAAACGCTTACATTTGCGGACTTGTAATTTAGCGTGTTTTTAATAGAATTTACTGACTTCTTGTTCTGCTTTTTGAAATATTTTGTGGTTTTGGAGCTTTTCAAATTGTCTCCATCTTGCACTAGTTAAAGTTTGGTTGCACAAGCGAACAGAAGCCCAATTTTTTGTTCTTCTTTGACATTATGTGCCGTATTTCTCAAGAAACTTCGAAAATCTTAAGAAAAACCGTAATTTAAGTTCTAAGGAGGTAAAGCAGTAAATCCTTAGGCTTCTCTGCAACTCGGAAATGTATATTAGCTACATAATTTCGACAAAATGAAATATGAGAAGCATAAAACGTTGAAGTGAAGGCTACCTTTTACAACTCTGCAGAATAATAATTTGTCAATATTATTAAGGTAAATTAGAACTTGGATAGCAAATTTTCAACGTTTATAGCATACCGGATTTTTGTAGCCGTCTGAAGCGGCGTTCAGAACCGGCTCCGGACGGTTTCACCACTGAATTTCACTGGAATTTTAAGTAATAGGTTTCTTGTTTTTAAGTAATAAGTTTGATAACACGTCATGTACACAACTAAAGTAAATGTTTAGCATACCTTTAAGGAGGTCAGTTGGATAGCATTTGCCTTTGTATAACACAGTGGCGCTGAGCCAAAACCGCTAGTTTTCCCACAAGAAGGCTTTTCCGGTCGCAAAAATTTTCACACCAAATTGGAAATTAATTATCCTATATGTTGTTGGTCAATCTATGCGTCGGTTTTTTTTTCCTGGTTTAATTGTACTTTCCATTCTGCCTTGTCATAATCTGTGGGTTTCGTTTGATTTTGTGTTTTAAACTATCATTCTTTCTTCACTCTTCTCAAATCTCTTCTTTGTTGATCAGTTGTCCAAGTTTGGGACATTGAGGTGTATGAAGTTTTGTTTATAAATACGTAGTAAGGTTACGTGAGCAGCATTTCTCCTTTCACCGTTGAAGTATCAGCATTATATCATGACTGACGTCTTATAACATTTAATTGATTAAAAATATTCGGTTTTCCTGGGTTTGTGTTAAGGTAAGATGGTTCGACCACTATTTAAGCCTTTTACTCTAGCTTTTTTTTGTTTACTGTCGAGGTCCCACTTTTGAGCCAGCTCATGAGCTCGTAGAGAAATCGGTCTGGTTTTTAGGCTCTCTTGCGATCAAGTTTGTAATAACAATATTTACTCTCTTCTTTTTCACATTGAAATTGTATATTTTAATCTTCCTCTGGTTATCGGTCTTTTCGACAATCTGTTGGCCAGCAAGTGTTTTCTTTGAGCTTTTGGAAAATGTTATTTTTTTAGGTTGACAGGTTATGTGGATAAAGGCAAGAAATTTATTTGAAGATATAAAGGATTACATTACATATAACAGTAGCGAAAATGCGAGCGCCAGAGCATCAAGTTTACTTGCTTCTCTTAACAAGAATCGACGGCAGTTGATTGAAATATTAAAAAATACGGTTTGTCTGATGAATGTTTAATGAAAGAGTAGAATTAGTTATAAATCAACTCGTAAGTGGCCTGAAACTGTATTAATATGTTTTGCAGATAAAGATTTGATTAATATTGCTTACTTTACCTTGTAGGTTCATGTATTTTCTTTTTAAAAATATGACAGCGCTTTCATTGTAGGTGGCTGTTCTTGGGCCGCCTTGGTTTTATTTCATGCTTTTTTAATGAAGTGCCTAACAGTCTTTGCTTTGTTTTGAAAAGTAGTGAAACTTAATTCATTTTTAGGGGAAGTCATCCATACACCGCGCTCAGATTGATAAAGTAGGGGCAGTAGTCAGTCTCGATAGTGGTCAGTCTGTTAAAATCGATGAAAGTCTGCGAGCTGAATCTCTGATCATATCGGACGTCTTTAACTGTAATGAGATTGAAGCTTTGGAACTTATACTTACTGGTAAAGCCTTGATTGTTCCACTTCCCACCAGCTTTTTAAAATAGCTTTGGTTTTAAAGGTACAGTGATACATTAGAATTAATATTTATTTAATAAATTTTTCGAGACTAGCAATTTTTACTCCATTTTTTAGGAGAAGTACAAATGCAGCACTTTACTTACATGACGAGGGGACTTTGCGCAGTTATATGTTATTATGATGCTCACCGTTTCCGAAGTGCTTCTGTGAAGGTTTTTTCTTACAGTCGCTATTTACATGATCGTCGCATCTCTTAAGTTTCCTTTCACAGTTTTTAGGCGTATTGGTCGAATATTGCTGATATTTTCCCCTGACGATGGTTTTTTGTTGTTTAGGCATTACTTGAATTAAAGTGTAATCCAGAAATAGAAAAGACACCAGAGCTTGAAAGCTTTTTGTGCCAACTGTGTAGTGATCACTTATTGGCAAAGCAGCTGATTGGTGAGTGGTTTACAGATTTGTTTTGCTAGTTAAATTCAATAAGTTTGCTTCACACTTCTCAATTTTTGGTCGCCCTTACAATCCTTTTTTCTGAGCACCTTTTTCTTTTTTAACGCTCAAGACTTTCTTCTTAGCAGGTAATTAGGGCAGAAGTTTCTTCAGAAGACAAGTTGTTTTACTTTCTTTTTTCTATTTATCGAGTCATTAACTTGCCGCTGTCGATTTTTCGAAATTAATGTTGTGGTCTTGATATGAAGAAAACTGCTCTTGCTTTCAGTGTGACTTTGAATTGAAAGGATTTTTGTTTTTAGATGTTCTGCAAACTGTCTGTGTTGAGTCTGAACTGCAAACATTACATCAGCCGAATGTTAATGGTTTAGGAGGTCCAAAACACCAACAGATTGTTAGTTAGGCTGATTTACTGATATGATTTGTAGCATTCACAAAACTGCTT